ACGGAGGAGCAGGGAGGCGTGAGCAGGAGCAGATTGGGGGCGGGTCGGGAAGCCTGAGACGTGGGGTATATAGATTCTAGCAAATGTCAGTGAAATGACAGACAGGAAGTGGTGAAGGGCTGTTGCACAGCGCCTGTGTTGAGAGAGTTCCGGCTCCGAGCATGAATTTCTCAGCTGCCCTGTCTCCTCTCTGGCAGTTTGAGGAGGTGCCATGGAGAACAAAGTGACCGACCACCTGCACCAGGCCCTGGCTGAGCTGGGGGAGAGTGAGCTGAAGCGATAAATGTCAGTGAAATGACAGACAGGAAGTGGTGAAGGGCTGTTGCACAGCGCCTGTGTTGAGAGAGTTCCGGCTCCGAGCATGAATTTCTCAGCTGCCCTGTCTCCTCTCTGGCAGTTTGAGGAGGTGCCATGGAGAACAAAGTGACCGACCACCTGCACCAGGCCCTGGCTGAGCTGGGGGAGAGTGAGCTGAAGCGATTCAAGGCCAAACTCAGGGACGTGGCCATGACAAAAACATTCGAAAAGAACCTGCAGGAGCAGCTGGGAGGCGCGGAACCGGCTCAGTGGGTGATCAACCACTTTGGGGTGGAGTATGGGGCGGAGGTGACCCTTGAGGCGCAAAAAGCCCCGGAGCACGAAGCCAGTGCAGAGGGGCTTAAGCAAGCCCTCGGGGCTTATGAGGGAAAGTGCAGTGATCACCTAGAGACCATCTCCAGAGTGAGGAATCTGCTGCACCGCACCTTGGGCAGCCTGGGAAAGGAGGAGCTCCGGGTCTTCAAGGCCAAAGTGGCCGAGGTTGAACTGTCAGACACTTCTGTCACCAACCCCCCCATCCCCGGGGGCCGGCTGGAGAGGGCAGAGGTGGCAGAGATGGTGGAGGAGCTCATCAGCCACTACGGGGTGCGCTACGCCTTAGACGCCACCCAGACCGTGCTCAGGGACATGAACCAGGGTGCCCTGGTGGCCGCTCTCTTTAGGCTGCAGAGAGCCTACATCAAACAGACCTGGGAGTGGACGGAAGCCCTCTTCAAAGTGAGCGAGCAGCTCATCCAAATCTGGGGCAGCCTGGGGCCGGAGGCGCTTGAGAACTTCCGCATCCAAGTGGCTGAGAGAGACCAGGAGCCAGAATCTAGCCCCATCCCCTGTGATAAGCAGGCGACAGAGGTCACGGAGGAGCTGATCCATGAGTACGGGGAGGAACGCGCCCTGCGGATGACCCAGAGCATCCTGAGAAGCATGAACAGGGCTGCCCTGGCACAGAAACTCATGGAGGCATCTAGGACGGGTAAGAAATTGTTTCCTAAGGAAATCCCCTCTCTCTGTGTCTCCTTTCACGAATGGTTCGGAAAGGCGGGGGTGGGGTGAGAGGTAACAAAGGGCAACCTTAGTTTATTTTAATCCCATCCCTTGTATGACCCCTGAGATGTATCCGACACTGTCATTTCTCCCTCCCCTTCCCCCTGGCTTCACCGCAGTTTTCTTTCCCGGCTCCACATGACAGTTCCCCCATTCCCGACTCTTGAGGTCCCTTTCAGTCCTAGTATTCTATGATTCTATGACCGCTTGTCTCCCCGGGGAAATGTTTCTAGCTTGGGGTAGGTGGCAAAATTTCCCAGTAACAGAGCAAACTGCATGGAGGAGACATGACAAGGTGGGAGACAAAGGGAGAATACTAGCTGGCTTGCACACCGCCTCCAGTCTCCAGTGCAGGAAGAAGAACGAATCCAGAGAGCGGTGTTTAGGAGGGTGGTTGAGGCCTAAGAAAACAATTCTCTGCTTTTCCAGTCCCAGCAGCAAGAGCAGAGCAAAAGTGTTGGCTGTGGGGGAGCTCCAGGCCACTCTACTCTCTCCCAGCAGGGGGCGCTGTAGGGAGGGAGGGGGGAGCTCCCAGCTTCTCCATTCCCAGCCTCTCTCAGCAGGGGG